GGATGAAAGGACTTTTATCCATGCTTGGAATCTCAAATCAGTGTTGATCATGTCAACGAAACTACTGATCAAAATGTCTGTTGGCAAAGGCCCCATTTAAACCTGCGTTTTCTGTGAAAGTCAACATTTAACATTCTCTAAAGCAGCTCAGAACTGTTTTTCAGTTTAGAGAATTGGTGCAGAATTTTAGACGCATATGATCTGTTTATGTCCCACTGACGTTTGGGTTTATGGGTGCATGGATTTGCAAGCTTATACTTGTTTCTAAAAATCGTTTCTTTAGAGAAAACACAAAAGTTTTTGCAAGCAAATGCAAAGTTTTTATTAGGAAAACCAGACACTTTTGCAAGAGAAAGCAAAAGTTTTGTTAGTGAATGCAAAAGCAATGAAATATTTTTTTTTCTTTCATCTCATTTATTTATTTTTTTTAATATCAAGTCCTCTTAGAGGCTCTGCAGTTTTCTCATGAGATTGGCCTGCATAAATGATTAATTTCTAAAACATGATGAATTCACGACACATTCAGTATGCTCATTATTAGATATTATTTCCGGTGCTCAGATTTTCACACCAAGGATATGTTAATAAATCTTTTATATGCTTGATACACGTTTAAATTAATAAATGTTTACTCTGAAATGTTTAAAAAGTCTGAAATGTTTAAAAAGTTCAAATTTATTTTCAAATTAGTCTATCACAGTTTGTCATCATTTTGCCCATTATTTTATATTTGTTATATATTCTTATCTAAGTAAAATGTATAGCATTTAAACACTTTTTTATAACTTTTTATTTATAACACTTTAGAATAGGGAACACATTCATTATTAATTAAGAATTTTCCCTCATTAAACTCCTAATTTGCTGCTTATTAATAGTTAGTAAGGTAGTTGTTAAGTTTAGGTAGTGGGTTAAGGGATCTAGAACATGGTCACACAGAATAAGGCATTAATATGTGCCTATAAGTACTAATAAACAGCCAATATGCTAGTAATATGCATGCTATTAAGCAACTAGTTAATAGTGAGAATTGGATCTTAAAATAAAGTGTTACCAAAATCATAATATTAACTGAATTATATCATACTACCTCATATTATAAATGATGATATTATATTACTAAAATTAATTTGTGATAGAATATTGAACAAATTTAAAGGACAGCTCTCTCTCTCTCTAAAAACATGAAAATTAGCAATAGGATGGATTCGATTTTTCCTTCAGATGACGAGTTTATGCTTTCTGCAACTAGGACTGAGCTGTCGACTCAGCAGTTACATGCATTCATTCAGTTCTTTGCATCATATTCTGTTTTCACTGGTAAAAAGACGAGAATTTCTTACGACCGTCTAAAGCCACACAAACTGATGATGAAATTGAATGTGAACTCAAAGTCATCTGCGGATTATAATACATTTTATATACTAGCAGTACCTCAGAAATATTCACAGTCCTCAGTGCTCACTGCTCAGTGTGGTAATACTCTAAAAGAAAAATCGCCATGGCATTAAAAGGTACCACATCCCGTGCACAGATGGAGTGTGCCACCGCTTCCCATTCCTTTTAGTGGGAGACGTACTGCCAACATAGTAAAATGAAATGGCCTTATTTGCATTGAGCTGGAGGAGAATAGCATTTAAAGTGGGTTAGGGTGAAGGGGAGCAGAAAAGACTTCAGAACCAGTTTGAGAAGGACAAAGAGAGAGACGGAGAGAGGTAAGAGGCTTAGCGTGCTTCAGGGCTTCGGTGTTTGGAGAACCAAACTGTGAAAGAAAGGGAAATTAGGCGTCCCTCGCTCTTTCCCTCTTTCTCCTTTAGCTAATGAGATAGCCAATAGATCCTAGCTGTCCTAGAGTCACACTGATGTCCAGTGAGGGGGCCAGATGTTTTCGCTTTCACAGTGCAGATCCATAAAGCTATACCTGCACGCAGGGGTTAAACACACTGATCATACAGAGAGGCTGCCTTGAGATCTAAAGCTCACGCAGGAAAGCTTCACGGCCTCCAACTGGGCTGCTTGTATAAGAAAGGATGGAACGGGCCCCACCGTCCTCAGGCAGGCATTGGCTTTGGATATCTGACGCTCTTAGGCCCAGCCGAGGAGAAACTGAGAAGAAATGAAAGCAGAATCTACTACTTATGAACGAATTCACAAGCTCTTGCACCCTGCTCACAGCGTTGAAAGCAAAGGTGGTGTTGTCACTGCAGCGCAACATCTGGGGTTTTCACATCTCGAGGGAAGTTGGGCATGAAACACATTCTCTACAGAAAGAAAGAAGGTGGAAGATTCTTGGATGGCTTTCGAAACATGAAAAAGACTGGAGAAGTATTTGAAACAGGAACTGTGTTGCAATACCGCAGTCTAACAATGGCATGGGATCTGGAATGATAGCTTGAAACAATAAATGGCATTCATGAGGTCCGACCGCTGTATTGGAAAAGTTTGCAGTCGAAACACTTTCAAATTTAAATACAAAATGCTTCTGTGGAAAATGTGACCGCAGCATAAACGTTTGAATAAGCGCCGCATATCAATGTGGTATGAGAAGCAAAAAGCTTTGTTCGGTGGGCTGAGGAGAATCCTCGTCCTTTATTAAACATCTAAGTTCAGGTCAGCTTCATTACCATAATACAGAGCTCTTATACCATGAAACAAACATCCTCCCTCAAAAAGACAGCTTGGTCGACAGATTGGGAATATTGTGCATAGTGTGCAAGCTTTGTTTGTGTACGACGGCTGGATTTAAAAAAGGTGAGAGGTAAAGAATACACCTCACGATGAAAATATGGATCTCTTCCCATTAAAAACTAGCTGGAAAAGAATAGGCCAGCACAAAATAAAACAATAAAAATAAATCCAGGTAATTTGTGAAATAATTCAACCCAAGCTCATTGAAAAACGTGCCTATACCTGAATCTTTGAAAAAATACAAAAACATACCCACTTATACATATAATTCCCTGCACTTTCCAGCTGAAGCACCAACAACTTTCATACCTTTTCACAAAAATGATCCTAAAATATAGACAGTCTTGCATGGTTTTCTTGTTCAGTTCCAATTTGTGATGCTAAAACGGTTTTAACATTTCTAAATTAATACATTTTGATTTTTGCATCACATAACCAGCTGCATATGTGTTGCTTTTCTGGTTTAGTAAACTTGCTCGGTAGCCCACCTGGTATAGTATGGCATTTGCGATGCGAAAAGCTCCGGTATAAGTCTGGTAAAACAGTAAAAGTAAAAAAAAATCAAAAACTTGTACAAGTGAGCTAAAATCTCACGTTTCTTTATCTACACTCTAAAAAATGCTGGGTTGTTTCAACCCAACTTTGGGTCAAATATGGACTAACCCAACTGTTGGGTTAAATTTTTACATTAAATTTTTAACCCAAAAGTTGGGTTTGTCCAAATTTGACCCAAAGTTGAATTTTTTAGAGTGTAGCTAACGCTATTGGTTATGTTTAGGGTAAGGTTTAGTGTAGGTGGTACATTATTTTTTAAACGCGATACAGAATTCACCTTTTTGCGGCATTAACCGGACATTTAACTGCCATGATATTTACAACAACCAGCATAATAAAACATTGCAAGATTCATGTTCATCTGTTTCGGATAAAACGCACTTTTAGCATCATTCACTGGACATTTTAAAAGTGTTGCGAAACGTGCAAGAACCAGCGTAATCAGTTTGCAGAAATGTCGTCGCAGGCACGTTTTTCCAATAAGCTTGGGTTGAAATAAATATATGACAATAAAAAAGGCAATAGTGGCTCTTCTGCCATTGCAAAATGTCAATATGTGCTGATCTGCATGTTTTGGTTTGAATGTATTGAAGGGGCAGAGGCTTGTTTATGTGACCGTATTGCTCGCATGTTCTCCAGGAGTTGTTCATCATCCTCTCTGAACAGGTTTCTGCTGACACACATCAGTTTGAAGCAAATGTCTCTCTGTCATAATCACAGCTTTTTATGATCATTTTGCCCTTCCTGCCCTTTCACAATGTCAGAGAGTAATGAGTGCTTTTAGAGAGTCGAGAAGAGAGTGAGAAAAGATAGATAGGTTCTGTGTATGTGTGAGAGAGAATCAAACCTCCTCCCTTTGATCAACGCTAAAGAAACACGGCACCAAGTTTGGGAACCTGATATGCAGCCGATCCAACCCATCAAACATCATGGCATCCACATAATGATCCTGCTTTTGTGTTGGTCTTCTTTATCTGCTGTATTGTTTGAAAGATAATTTGATTAGTGCTGACATGATGAAATCAGTGCTGACATGATTAAATCGTATGTAAATAACCTAAACACACAAAAAGACAGAATAGTATTCAAAGGTACTCAAAATTAATGAATTAAATGAATAAATAAATAACTGGCAAACGTATCTAGATTTTATCTTTATGTTTATAATAAACAAACCGAAAGAGCACACTTTTGGCAATAATATATGTAAAGAAAAATATATTTGATCGTTTTTTTTTTATTAATATAACTTTATAAGCTCCATTATTCAACAGCTATTCAAATTTTCATCCTTAAAAATAGTAATCTACATTATCTAATATATTCAGACTTTTGGCAATAACAGAAAAAAATGTATTTAGTCAGTAATTAGTAAACAGAAAAATTATGACAAACTAAGACAAACAGAAAAATATTATTTTATTATTCTTAGACTTACTGACCGATTTTTATAGGCTGTCCTTTGATGGGAGGGGACGTATTTTATTATTTTAATACATTGTATTATATTACATAAAATGTAATTATTCAACAGCTATTCAAATACACTTCCATAACAATATTTACGTAAATTATCGTATTCATGTAATTGTATAATTATCTGTATTTATATAATGTATATATGAATATTTTAAGAACACGTTTGTATACAACCAGATATTTGAACTTTTGTCCCATCGGCTGGGGAGGTAAATGAGCTAATGTTGCAGTGTAAATAGTCCAATCCTGTTCTTTGGTTCACTTACAGGTTTCTGAAGACCTCAGCCAACGCTCACTGTCACTCCTCACACACGTGTCAGCGCTACAGGACTTACTTCCGGTTCAACATGGCGGCATCCATGGCATGTCAGGCGGCTGTGAGAGGACTCCGAGCAGCGAGCACTAAACAACTGCTTGTGAGCCGAAACCAGGTAACAGATCGCAGATCTCTACGTTTCTCCTCCAGTGCGTGATGTGACCAGCAGAAGAACGTAGCGTTGCGTGACGCATCTGCTGTCTGTCTGCTTACAGCATCTGATAATAATGATTTATTCTGCACATAGTTATGAATACATGTACAAATACTCATTTAACATGGCGTTGCTTGTTCATTCAACTAGCGATTTGAACAGATGCTTTAATAGAATGACACATAGACGGTCTCTGCGCTGCTTTGCAGAATTATTCGTTTACTGTAACTGACGCCAGCATATAAATATGTTCATAAAACACATTGCATGATCTGCAAATGCGGTCTGATGATTTGAAATTAATTTAGACAAGGATTCTTTTCAAAAGATTCTGTTTTTAAGTTTATGTTAATAAATTCTATTCTTAAATACCTTTTTTTCTAAAGGTTCTATTCTGAAAATGTTGTTCTAAGGATTCTAACCAAGAAGTAGAGTCTTATAAGATAGTTTAAACATTAGCTTGTGTGTTCTGCTATATGTTAGATGTTTCCCAGAATACTGATTCCTAAAGGTGATACTTTTTAATAATGTTTGAGTGTTTTGAGGGCTTTTTTTTTGGCTCTTTTTTCATAAGGCTAGAAATGATCGTTTCACCTTCAGGTTTGTCCTCCATTCATTCAGTCAGTGAGCAATAGGCCAGAATCACGTCCATCTATATCAGCCTTTGACCCGCCAGTGATGAAACTTTTTCTGCTGAGCTGGCCAATAGCAATTTGCTGTCAGTCTACAGCAAAGGTTTAAAGGTCATTTTTAATATTTATCTTAGGTATAGGCAGATTTCCATGCTGTCATAATTCTTGTATTTTTGGGTGATTGTCTTGTGTTCCTCTTTTGGTCTTGCAACATTTTACAATTTTTAATGTTTCCTTATTTTGGGTGTAATTTGACATGTGTACTGAAAGATTCCTCTGCACATATAAACCGTAAACCAGGACAACAGGACAAAGTAGATCAACAGTGCTTTTTCAATGGAAATTCAGTCTTATGGAAAGTCAGAGGCTATATTTTGACATTATAGAACAAAACTCGGAGGAAAAGTTTCAAGTAGGTCATTGAATAGATCTGAGCTGCGCCTTCCATTCTGTTTTAATCCTGACTGATATCCCTAAATAGTTCAGTGGCTGTTGGCACATAAAACAAATGTGTTGGTTGTCAGAGGACAGAGGCTTGCCGTCTTTAAAGGAACAGTTCACCCAAAAATGAAATTTGCTGAAAACTTAACAACCTTCAGTCCACTTAAGATGTAGATGAGTTTGTTTCTTCCTCAAAGACGTTTTGAAACAACATGTGTATATATATATAGATAAATATTATGACATGTTTTTTTTAAATTTTTAATCTAATTCTGATGGCACCCATTCACTGCAGAGGATCTATTGATGAGCAAGTGATGTAATGCTAAATTTCTACACATCTTCTTTGATAAAGGAACAAACTTGGACTGAAGGTACATTTTTAGCAAATTTTCATTTTTGGGTGAACTATTTCTTTAAGGGGAGACGCTGCAGGCAAAAGCACTGTTTTTTCATGCACGTGTCAAGTTTGAGATTTGGGGCTTTTTGGTTTTTCATAAAGTGTTTTTTTCAGACTAGTGGAAAGAAAACATCCAAAATACACTGTTAAGTGTTTCTTTTAAAGCACTTTATCTATTTTTGTCAATATATTTCAATTACAATACATATTTTTTAAGGTCGTTTTCTCAAAATGAGTTTTTTCTCCTACACTGAGCCATAAATCTCCACTTCAGTAGCACTTACACACACCAAACTTTACATTTTTATTCCTGTCTATATCCTGAAGGTTTTTACAGAGGGATTTGTTCATATATAATTTGCTTGATTATATACAACATTTTATTCCCCCCAAAATTGTGAAAATAAATTGTTTTCTGTCTGTTCAAAGTATTTTCTGAATTATGGAGTGACAAAAATGAGACCCCAAATTCCCTCTGTAAAAACATTTGACTCTAATATGTCAAAAAAATTAAACAAGAATTTTGAAACTGACTTTTTTTATCCAGTTTTTAGATTTTTGTTCTAGAAATGTATGCAAATTAGCGCATATTTAATTAAATAATGCCTCATTTGCATATTTAAACCTAACATTTTAGAAAACTTGTAATACAAAACATTTTTGCAATTATCAATGTAATCAATCAACTGGGTAAGTAAGGCAACAACTATTAGTTATTTTTTTTACCCTATTCACCTGCTGTGTCTCGCCTTAAGAATGGTTGTTTTTGTCCCATAACTACACTGGAATCAGTGGAATAAGGCATGCACAAATATATTTTACCTGTAAAGTGCTGTTTTATAGGGCCCTAGAAATGTAGTTTATCCAAAATTATCAGGTGTGTTGTAATGCGTTCATACTAAAATCTCACCCATAACAAGGGCATCTGATAATAACAGCAGCCGTAATTTAATAGCAAAATTCTGTTTACGCATTATTGGCTTCACAATAAACCCCTTTGAACACCACAGATGTCGCATCTGCTTCCTTCAGACATCAATATTGTCTTAATTTTATTCTGAAATTGCTTCACACAAAAGGCAAGGCATCTCATAAATCTTTACGCCGGTTTGTACACAGAACAAGGACTTTAAACATTGGACGTTCTGCCTAAAAAAAGCATCTTTCCAGTGACTTTAGTACGCACAGACTGACCTGATTTTGCTACTTGATTCAGTCGATTTATTGATTCAGCTCCCAGAATGCAGCATTGATGTCATCATGAAAGTCTGCTTTTCAGTTTAAATTCATTTTTAATTAAATGGCTAAATCATTAAATACACCCAGTTTCTAATACATGTTACTTTTTCGACCTTACCTGAGCTGGAGTTTTAAAGTTATATAGAGAGGTTCTGTGCTAGAAAATGACATTGGATCAACACCAATTTAGTGTATAAGGCATCACTTCATTACTCTGTGCAGACCATTCTGCTGCCATAAGATGTGGTTTAGTAGTGCATGCAGAGTGCTTAGCTAGCACATATTATCATTTCTGTCGTATAATGAGATGCAACCCGCTGCAACAGGGCACAAGCGTCATCCATCTGAGAGAGGTCCTGCTCTAATGAGAAACTACATAGTGCCAAGTGCAGTTATAGTATTTTTGATGAAATGACTTATTTACGTCTTGTTTGGTATCAGAGAGAAGTGACATTTTTATGGTAATAGACTTTAATGCATAGGTTTATATCAGCTATTTGCAAATATGATAAGGACCTACAGATTGTGTATGAGGGTCAGTGTTAAATTTTAAAAGCACTAATATCATGATTTGATACAGACACTAATAAGATGCAGATTAGAGCAACTTTTTTCATTTTTCTCTCAGTTTGGACTTCTCATGTTCGGATCAAATCCATGTTTCACCATCTCCTTAGGGATCTGGCTGTCAGCCAGTTCCTGACAACGATCAATGAGCTGTTTTTATTAATCAGTGGCTGCATACTTGGACATTTGCACTAGTGCTGGGTAAAAATATCCATTTTCCGATTAATCGTGATCTTCGCTTTAGCGATCACAAAATCGATTGCTGAAATCCCAGGATCTATCTTTTAATCTATGCCAGTGTTACCACTTTTCAGTGTCAGCAAATATACAGTACAGCTTGCAATCAGAATTGAATGTGATTAGAAAAAAAATACAAAATGAATGTGTGCTGCCAAATAATTACAAGAAAATATGTCTCTCTTTTGAGGTTTCCTCACAGACAGCACACAATAACAAACAGCATATCTAGTGTAATCCAATTCATGAACAAATGACTCTCATGAACTGGTTCTTTTTAGTGAATTAAACGCACACAGCTCAACCAGTCTGATACACAACTACTCTTTTGGGCTGGTCCTTTTAACAAATTGTTCAAAGAGACTGACAAACTGAGGAGATACTTTGAGTGAGTCTGTTAAATCCTTTACTTAATGAACTCAATTAATCTGTCAAAGATAAGACCCATTTAGAGCTTTTGTACTCTTTCACTGAAGTGTTTTGTTCAGGAATCTGATTACACTAGACTATATAGTAATATTATACTGTATAGTATTAATAAATAATAATCAAATAATACTTTTATACAATACCTGCAATTGGGTCATTCCGTGTCAACTCAACCAGAGGCCCCCGTTTCAAATTATTGATTTTGCTAATTTTTAGCAAAGCCAAAAATATCAAATGTCATCGATGTATATTTACAGAGTAATCCACTGTAAAAATGACAATTTTCACCTGAGATTCAGAGCCAAAGTTTGCCTGCCTGTCTGGAATTAAACCATTTAGGGCCTTAAAAATGAAGATTCCAAAAGAAAAGCTTCTTAGAAACCAGAATCTAAAATTATATTAAGATAACTTTAACATTTCTTGAGTTGCAGGCACGCAAACTTTGGAAAAAGAATAATTCTGACACTCAAAAATGTATTTCCTATGCAATTATCTTGATAGAGGGAAACAAGATACATTTCTAGTTTCAACATTATTTGTTATTCAGACATCCCTCTTTAAAAAAAAAAAAGAAGTATCATCTGTATGCAAAGTGAAGTGATCCACATTTGGTTTTTGACCGCTGAAAATGCATACAAATTAACAATTCACTCCTGGAGCCATACTGAAATTGCAATATCTCTGGAACTGAACCTTATAGGGCCTTACAAATGAAGTTGCCAAAAGGAAAGTTTGTTAAGACCCAACATCTAAAGCGACATTAAGATATCTTTAATACCTCCTGAGTTACAGCCATGCAAACTTTGGAGAAAAAAACATGAAAAGTGCCTTTTCCCCATTTTTGAATGGTCACCATTGATATTTGACGCAATAAAGATTCCTAAAGTCAACAGATTTCACTAATAGACTTACCAATCTCTGTGTAAAAATAGTAATTTTTACCCCCCCTGTAGTTTGGCTCTGACATTTTATATTTTGGCCTTCATCACTATACATGTTTATATTTCTTAAGAAAG